CACGTTCACCTAGCCTGCGTCGTGTAAAACGTTTTTCGAGTATTTATATGATACAGTAACTAGAAATAAAGATGGTGTCATCGGATGAGGAAAAACTGATAAACGAATAAGCACCCCCTTCCAATAAGCGCCCTAGTTCAAATAAGCACTCCCCCCTCTCGGCGTAGAAAATTAAATAAGCGCCCAATGCGCTAATTCGAGCATTTCCAGCATTTCCACTTGCTAAATACATGTAATTCCAAACATTTAGGTACTCACGACGCATAATGTGGCTGGAAGTGACCTCCACCAATAATGATCCTTCCATTATTGGCCAGTACTATTTAGATTGTGTTCGTCAGATAGAAGGTTTGTATAATAACGCTTCAGCATAGTTTAAATTAAATAAGCACTACTTCAATAGGAACAGTAAAAGCTATTTAGTGTTGTTATTCAACGTATTAGAGAGCCATTTTTAAATTTACTTAAGGTTCTCGTAATTTCGTTAATGTTTCATTTTTTGTCATCGTAAATACCAATCTTTATTATTGTATTAAAATTGCACTGTTTTTCAGTTCTTAACTGCAAGAAGTGTTAATATAATTTTGTTATTATTTACAATTATTATTGTTATTATTATAATTATTATTGTTATTATTTTTGTTATTATTATTAGTTACAAACGTTGATTAAATTTGGATTACTTTTCTGCTTTTTCAACAAGGTGCTCCTCGAATTGTCAGGGCTGACTGTGGTACAGAAAATGTAGTTACAGCTGGCCTTCAAAGGTATTTTCGCTCTAATGCTGATGACGTCTTTGCAGCAGAAAACAGCTTTATGTATGGCACATCCCCTGCTAACCAGGTAAATCGCTAAGAAATTAATGAGCTTATAAGGAACACTTTTGCAATGTAAATGAAAACCACCAAATGCATAATGCGAGTCCCTAGATACATTCAAAGCAAGAGAAAATAGACACCTTGTAGCTACCCTCGACGTATATTCAGTTTTACTCGGTTGGTGTTTAATTTTATCTAGAGAATTGAGGCTTGGTGGTCCGTTTTAAGAAAATCGAATGCCGACTGGTGGATAAAATATTTTAAGGTAATTAAGATATGCGTACAACGTTAGCTTACCGGTGTATAATAATTTAACAATAATATAATTATATTTATAATGCGCGAATTTCAGGGCGAATTTCATTCAATTATTTTAAGAAAAGTTATAATTAAAATTAAAAGTTAACTTACAATAATGAAAAACAACGGTAACAAAAATGCATGACGAGGTAAAGGTGAATTTAAAATACTGACTGTGTGCTTCTTATTTCAAATGGTAGCGCATTCCCAAAAAGAAAATGCACCTACTGTAGCTCTGGATTAAAAACGCGGGCATGCAATTTATTACATGAATTTTTAGCGGCACGTTTATTAAGTTATTTTGAAGAATCGTTTTTTAGTGACACTTTTATGTAGCGAGTTTTCGTAAATTAAGTGTCGCAAAGATTTCATGTAATAAGGCAAGTAAAACTTTATCACTGAAATATCCTATCTTGGACCCTTAGATTACATTTGGATCGGGGCGTAAGAGAAATAAGAGACGATTAGTAAGAAGGGGTAGCCAGTGCAACTCATGATCATATTAAAGAGGCGTTACATGGCAAACATTTTTGTTTTTTGTAGTCACGTTTTTAAAGATCATAAGACATTGGTCTATGCTCATCTGTTTCTAATAACCATAATCCTTTAAATCTGAGTTTTATAAAACAGATCAAATGGGATGAAATTAAAGCACTTTCAGACTTTTCAGCAGAGCTTGTGAAAAACAATCATTTATTAAACCTGAATCTGAGCGTTTATATTAAAACTTTTTATTTAATTTCATTGTAATGTTTTGTTTTGCGGCAGGATCTAAGAGACACTGGAGTTTATGATGACAGTGATCCCCTACAAATGTAAAAGTGTTTTCTTTATTTAACATATATATATATATATATTTACCAGACTAGAAAAAGAGGAACAGGCAATGCTGGGAATAAGGCAGATAGCCTTCTTCATATACTAATTCTCAGCCTTATTCAGCTGGTGTTGCTGGTTGGTTTAATTTAGGGTACGCCTGATTTAGCTTACTTGCTCCTTGATTAAACAAAATGGAAAAAAATCTTCTCTTGTAGGTGATTCCTTTTGTTCGGGTCTGACCGGGCTATACAAATTATGATTTTCATGATGATGATGGTCATTATATCAGTAACAGCTATTTTAATTATGATTGTTATTGCTGTTTAAATATTTTACCATAATTATCCAAATAGCTGTACGTTTTTCTTGACATAATCATCCATAATTTTGTATTGTTATAACAACCAAGAGTCGTCGACTAATAAGTTCTTATTTCTTAAAAGGCAGCTTTGTCTATTTTGAACTTTAAATTATGTTTTTCTAATTATTGCGTTCCAGAGCATGTCTGCAGTTTTGTTTTACTGGCTTGTTACAAGAGGAGTTGCACCGAGTTGCAAGACACTGGAACACACACAGGATAAGACCATATCCTAACCAAGAGAGCCATCCTGGAAAACCTGACGTTTTGTTCTTTATCCCAGAACTTAAAGGCAAGTAACTCGTCTTTAAACTTAAATAGTTTCACACTTATATGACCGCGTTACATGTTTCTGTCGCACCTGAATGAAAGCGGTTACCGATTGCATCTGAGAGCTGCGTGTTCTTAAATTATTAGATGATGATGATGATGATGATGACGATGATGATGATGATGATGTTTTTCAGGCACCACTGATTTCAAGACTCCTGTAGATTTGGATGACCTGGAAGTAGCAGAAAGAAACTTCTGTAAAAAGCGAGATGTCTTTGGATGCCGGAGCGAGTTTTTCCGATGTTTTGCAAATGCTCATGTCCGACCATTCTTTGACAATGCCAAGAGATGCAGAAGAAGGAAAGATCTTGTTTACCACACTATATTATCTTTTGCAAGCAATCGTTTAGCCTTTGCTTTTTGTTAAAACAACACAAGCGAAACAGTGTGAAACATGTACAGAAATAGATCAGTGAATGAAACCATAAAAATCGTCTCATTCGTTTGCCTAGAGAAAAAAAGCACAGTCTATTTAAAACTGATGTCGGTAAACCCCAGAAGTTGATATTTCGTTTGGCGTGCAGATCGTGCAGATCCATTGTTTTTTTTCCCAGAGTCTCCCCGGCGACCATCCGCTGACACCGAGCCGAAGAGACTCTGGACTTGGGATTGACTGAGGGCTTTCTATTCAACCTCGTTCCCAGTTTTTCCCTTTTTCAAAGGAGAGAAAAGCCCTGGGAAGGAGGTTGCTTTCTATTCAATGTACAATTGATTCGCTGTGCCTTAACAGAACAAAATTCCTAGGGAGGGGTGCATTTACTCCACCCGTCCCCCCTGAGGATATAAGTTAGCATGCACATAACACCGTCGTTGAGGGCGCACTCTTGTCAGGCCATGCGTCGCGTGCGATGAAGAAAGGCAAAACTAAAACTCTTTTGCGGGTTGTTTATCTAGCTTTCTTTTTTTATCCCTTTTTTCGCCCTATGTTGTTAAACCTTTTTCGAAGATATTTTGAAATTTTCGTTATTCTTCCAAGTTTGTTTAACGTGATAAAAGTTACGCAACTTGTTTTCGCTTTTTGAGAGTTGCTCGCGCCCGTTTTTAATCCGAGAGCAATATTTACGTCGTTACGCGCGCTACTGGGTCTCTAAAAACTTTAGTAATTATTAACAACCTTAAGTCCAGAATAGGATATACAAATAAGAGACGTTTGGTCTAGAATAGGGCTACAAAATGAAGCTTATTGGGTCTGGTATGGGTAAAGGGTATCAAAGTCCCAGCGGCACACCCCTAGCCAAAAATATTCTGGGCCTACCCCGGGAGGAGGGAGAGGGGCCATAAATAAAACAAACCCAAATGCACACCTGACGTCCACTGTGTTGGAAGTTTCTCGTACGGAAAATATTAATACCGTAAGTGGCATTAATATCTACATTTTGCCGACAATTATCCATTACCGAACCAAGAAAAGGCAACTCAGGAAAGGTAACACAACATTTTATTTAAGGTCTTAACAATGCGTTCTAGGAAATGTTAACGAAGAATTTCCATACAATCAGTGAAGAATAAGCAGTAATCTCTGCTCTGAAGTTAACGGAAGCAGTGTCAAAGGAGAATAACGAATAGATAGCTTGATTATGCAGAAAGTGATTCACGTGAACGAAATCATCTGACAACCTCAATGTTTTATGTACCATACCTCATTGCCAACGGGGCAATGAGTCGTGAAGTTGGTGTGCGTAGACACACCAAAAAGTAAGAAATCCTTCACAAATGATTATTTAGCTAGCAAAATTCACACATTGAACATTATCATGCAGAATTAATTGGTGAACAACTGATCTAAATATCTAAAACACAACAAAGTTCATCTCACAGAGTCACAGTTGCAAACATCCGCTGAAAAACTAACCAAACAAAACAACACCACAAAACACCCAGCAGTTTTTCTCACTTCTTGCAAATGTATGTATTCAAAAACGGAACTATTTGCTATCCGAAATGTTCATCTCCCACTGTTAGTCACATTAATTTATATCCTGTGCCACTGTTAAATGCACCTTTGACAAACGGTGACTGGTACTTTCCCTGCCGACTTTGCGTCTCTTTCAGTCTTCAAGATCCCAAAGCGATGGATTCTTAATAAAGAAATCCAGATTTTCTCTCAGTCGGTGGTACGTTTGGTAGTTTCGCGGTAGAGTAAGTACCTGAAAACATGTACGGGCCGTCGGTCTTGTTGCCAGGACAGCCATGTCTTCAAAGCGAACCTTGATTTTTCTTCCTGGCAACACCATGTCGTTCCCTGTAGAAAATCGTAGAAATAGGGCCAACGTGATGGAGTCCGCTTCTTTCAGATACCGTCGTAACCATCTTTCAACCTTTGCTTCTTTCGGACTTAGTGGCACGATGTGGAGAATTTTGACGACCCGAGTGGGCGAAGGGGTGCAGAGCTCGTAGATAGAATCTATTTCCTCTTCGGTTACGGTGTCCCAGAAATTACCCATTCCTTCTCTGATTTTCAAGAGCGGCAAAAACAGTTTGGTGACAAACTCGGAAGTTCCAATCTTGACAAGGGTTTCCTGTAAGTTGGATGCTGTTGGCGGGGTTCTTTGATGGTATTCGTCAAAAATATCCATTACTTCATCTTGAACAGACGATAACGCTATCTTGCCCTCGAGAACATCAGACAGCAGTTTCATTTCTACAGGCGGCAGTAGGCGAAGGAATGATTCTAGGATGATCTCATCGGACACCTCTTTAAAAAGCGCCTGATACATTGACGCCTTTACTAATTTTACGGGGAATGTTCCACACTGAATAAACATGTGAGTTATGAGGCGTCCGAGTGCGACGAAGTCTTCCTCCAAAAGATTAGGCGAAACGCAAAGGGTGTACTGATTACTGCCCTCGCAATATTGTGAGAAGAACGATTCCCAAGAAAAGGGAATAGAGTTCTCGTAGAAGCCCATCACCATTTGCCTGTTCACCTTCGAAGGAGACCACTAACTTTTTGCTTGAAATTGCTTCGTCTTCACGGTACATCTCGAGGAGCTGTTTAACAACATTGTTTTTATCCACAGTTATGTGGTACCTTTGTAACTCTTCTTCCCCTCTTCGGGCTTGTAAGGTGTGGAAATGTGCTTCGACTTCCACGCTTTCGTCTCCCTCCATGAATACCTCTGGCAAATCAGGTTCAACCCGCGCCACTTGGTAAGTCTGGTCGTTTACTTCGGCCAAACTATGTTCATCTCCTTGGTCAGCTTTGTCAGACTCCTGGAATTGGTCTCCAGTATTATTTAAATTTCCATGAGTAACATTGGTATCTTCGGTTTCGTCTGTTAAGGTGTCCCCCAGCGTTTCATCACCCAGATGGTATCCGTGGAACGCAACTTCGCCGTCATCTTCGATTAAGGGTAACGGATCGTCTTCCACAGTCATGGTAAGAAGGTGCGAATGGCTGATCTGCACACCTTCAGCAGGAGATATTGGCACTTTAGGCTCCTTTGAGAGGGAGAAGTACTTAGGAGTGCAGCTCAGTGACCCTATCCAGTCGTACACATTCCACATCGCTGCATCAACTGGGAAGCGTCTGGTAACTATACCAAGGCTGGTGTGTCTGACTCTAACAAGTAGAAAACTTCCGTCTTCTTCCGCCTCTGGTAAGACTCGCTTTGAACGTGATCGCCGCAACCTTTCTAACTGGGCTCCTTCTTCTTGTGCTCTAACGATCTCTTTGTTAATTGCATCTTTCGCTTGGTCTTGCTTAAGTGAAGCGGCTACTTCCAGAGCAAGCTTATTACGATACTCTTCTCTCTCTTTCGATGTGCCAATGAGCTGCGACGAGCCATTTCCACCCTCAGAAGCATCACGCGAAGGTATCATAGCGCGAAGCAAATCTTTTTCATCGCCAGAGTCGTATGGCAGCTTTTCTTTGGACAACAGGTACAATCGAGGCTTGGTAAAGCCGGTCGCTGCCTTGTATCGCTCGGCAGTAAAAGGGAGCAACTCGCCATCGACCCTAACGTCAGTAACACCACAACCATTAAAATCACCAAGGGACAAATCCATTTCATCCTGCGATCCTTCGGGACTGACACCCAGTGGAAAGAATAATTCTTTTGCTATTCCCAAGCACTCGTCGGCACTTGCAACCTTAGGTATGTCTACAACCCTGGTTCCGCCTCCGCTTCCCTTTTTCTTTTGTCTAAATGTTTCAGTTCTTGTACACCAGTGCTTCCAACCAAATTCGAATTTAACAGCTGTTTTGGCCATTTTCTTTTCCTTTTTCTCGAACGATTCGCGCCCGTGACTCCTTTTGGAGGCCCTTTGATGGCCAAGCATGCTTTTCAGCTTGTCAACGGCGTCTTGTCGCTTCTTCTGTTCGACTGTTGTTTTCGACTTTCTTTCACAAAATGCTCGAATACGTAGTCGGTCGCCCATTGCCTTGACACCTAATTCTTCTAGCTGCTTATCTGACATCATTAAGACTGATGATTTATCAATCTGAAGTACAGAAAAAAATATAATAAGACAGGTTTTATTATTTTTATTTTAAAAGCTGTATTGGGTATTTCAAATAAAATAGCTATCCGAAAAGGGCCTGTGCTAACGGGACACCTTACCCGTGCGAGGTACCGCCCGTGAGAAAGAGAAAGAAAAAAGCAAAACTCTAAAACATGGAGGATATGTTATAAAACCGCTAGTAAGTTACCTTGAAGTTTTTTGGCACTTTTCATACAATTAAAAGGTACCTTTTTCGCGTTTTTGTTTATAACCTATCCTACCTCGAAAAAGGTACATGTACCTTTTTATTGTTATAGGAACACTGCTGGCAAGATATACACTGCAAAGATGGATATTTTCATCGTAGCAGTATTTTCACGCGGACACAGCGAGCGAGCCTCGCAAATAAAGGTGAATATAAATAAACCGCTTTCAGTTAGTAAATGTGTTGTGAGTGATTTACTATGTTCACATCGCACATAGTGCTTTATAGGTAAACTTCCTAAAATCAAAGTAAATCAAAAATACCGTCATAATGCCGGTGAATTATTTTGTTACTGGTTGTGGACCATATTCCAGTGATTTTGAGTTGATGTTGTCCAAACATAACAACTAGGGGGGTCCAGGGGCATGCTCCCCCGGAGAAAATTTGATTTCCAGCACCTCAGAAACACTATTTTTAAAGTATTCTGGAAAACATTTGCTGTCTTCACTTCGCTGTACAATTCTTAAACATTTTACCTTGGAGATCAACAGTTTCCTTCTGCAAGAATGATTTTTTTCCGTCAGTTTCGGTTTGCATGAATTTTTTTTCGGGCATTTTGGCTTGCATGATTTTTTTTTTATTTTTCCCCATCCCCACCCATCAATTTTCTAATGGTCCGTCCTTAGGGAAAGATCATTTAATATGACAAGGGGGGGGGGGATGAAGATATTGAGGGGGGGCTCCGAAAATTTTTAGACACCCAAAGGGGGGGCTCTGAAAAAATTGTTGTGCTAGGAGGGGGGGGGGGTCCGAAAATTTGTATACTTCAAAACCAACACATGACATCATCATACAGATCGGATGGTTTTCAACTCAACAATTTAATGACCTGTGCAACTCAGCTATATCACGTGGTTTACAGATACAACAAAATAATGTAGTCTCAGTAATTATTACACTCTTGTTCATCCCAAAAATGCTTTAGAAAATTGTAACACAACTGTATCTCAAGTTTGTCATAGTATAAACCATTGAAGACAATAACGTAAATATATTTAATCGGTCAGTGTAAAACGTAGACTGCGGACTGCGGACCAGGGTAAAATGCAGACTGAGTGTAAAATGGAGACTGCAGACTGAGAGTAAAACGCAAACTGGGATAAAATGCAGAATAAAGACTGTAGACTTTTTTAAACATTTGTGCTCCTTCTTCTCCAAATCTGTGAAATAGCTAGCCGGTATCAGTTAAACACTTCACTTCCCAGTCGAAGTGCATTGCACATTCCTAGAAGTTTCTATGAACATCCGAACAGCTTAAGTCTGTGTACCTTGATTTGCAATACTTTCATAAAGGTCATCAAAATTTCTTGCAGAACATCTTTCTTTGTTGTTGGAATGATTTACTCCCTTTTTATCGCCATAATTCTTCCTGTACAGTATTTTGGTTCAGCAGCTTTCATTTAAGCGTAAACATCGTGGTGTTGTACTAATTCACGGTCCCTGGTCACTTGTATCGAAAACTTCGCGTCTAAAGTTGAAGCGTAAGGTCTCTCGGACGAAAAAAAAAAGCTTCAAGATTGCGATTATGTTTTTGGGTCGTCGACGACGTTCTAGAGAAGAAAGTCCTGAATGGATTTGTGCAAGCAGATGTCGTCAAGTAAGTGTTCCTTTAATACATGTATTTGCGGGATTTTTTGCCCTTAAACCCTTCTACGACTACAGTTTATGCTCGGTCTGCATTTTACCCCAGGTCCGCAGTCTGCAGTCCGCAGTCTGCGTTTTACACTGACTGTATATTTAATACAGTCTAGCTATCTTTTCAGGGGAGCAAAGGAATTGAAGGAGGAATTGGGGGCTCTGAAATTTTTTGACTACCAAGGAGGGGCTCCTAAAAATTGAACTGCTAGCGAGGGGGCTGCTAAAATTTCAAGCTTCGAGTTTCAATATCTTCATCCCCCCTTGTCATATTAAATGAACTTTCCTTATAGTCAACTATTACGCTGTTATATTTTAGTCAAATGAATATTTAGTTGCTAACCGAACCACCTACTCGTCTTTACTGACCACTAGCTGGAGTTGCTTCACGGTACTCCCGAGTTCAACTCCTCGGCCACGCTTGTAAAAAGCCAGCTGGTTTGCCTCCTGCCAGTTGGGGTTTTTAACCTTGTTATGTTTAATTTACGACTATTTGTTTCTAATATTTGCTCGGCCCCACTAGCCTTTGTGCTATAAACACTGCCGAGGGTAAATAAAGGATATTTATTTATTTATTTACAAACATGTAATCGCAATGTGCCCACGGGCAATTACAGATTAATTTCACTTGTATTTTCAAAGTTTTCCAGATCGCACTCGTTACTTATTAAAACTTTGAAAATAGCGTGAAGTTAATACTTAATCCCATGCGATAACATATACCAATGCTCAATTTTTCTGCTCAGCCGCTGCACTTTCAAGTTACGAAAAGCAGAATTGCCAGAACGTTTCACTGATGTTTTACGCCATTAAACATACGAAAAGCAGAATTGCCAGAACGTTTCACTGATGTTTTACGCCATTAAACATACCTTTTCAAGAAGAAACCGATCGGTTCAAGTTACGAAAAGCAGAATTGCCAGAACGTTTCACTGATGTTTTACGCCATTAAACATACCTTTTCAAGAAGAAACCGATCGGTAACTGTGCTGTCTTGTCCACTATCCTTCATGAACTGAATAAGCTAAAAAGAGGTAAACATGTGCGCACACTCAGATTACGATGGAAGAAGCTTCACCGGCGTTTAGCCGGAAAAATTTATCGCTCTTTTATTCTTCTGATTTTGTAGCAATTTGTCCGTTCATTTATTTCAGAAAAAAAAAACATTACAAATCAGAATAGTATGCCATACATTACCTCTGACACCTCTTCGTCCGCGGCCATGCTTTTGCTGCGAGATGACGTGTGAGATGGCGTGACAATTACGCAATACTCTATCTCGCATTTTTTTTATCTCGCATTTTTTATCTCGCATTTTTTTATCTCGCATTTTTATCTCGCATTTTTTTTATCTCGCATTTTTATCTCGCATTTTTTATCTCGCATTTTTTTATCTCGCATTTTTTATCTCGCATTTTTATCTCGCATTTTTTTATCTCGCATTTTTATCTCGTATTTTTTTATCTCGTATTTTTATCTCGCATTTTTTATCTCGCATTTTTTATCTCGCATTTTTTTTATCTCGCATTTTTATCTCGCATTTTTTTATCTCGCATTTTTATCTCGCATTTTTATCTCGCATTTTTTTTATCTCGCATTTTTATCTCGCATTTTTTTATCTCGCATTTTTATCTCGCATTTTTTATCTCGCATTTTTATCTCGCATTTTTATCTCGCATTTTTTTTATCTCGCATTTTTATCTCGCATTTTTTTATCTCGCATTTTTATCTCGCATTTTTTTATCTCGCATTTTTATCTCGCATTTTTATCTCGCATCTCGCATTTTTATCTCGCATCTCGAATGTCCCTTACAGGCTTCCGTAGTATTCTGTTATCCCTAAGTGTCTCCCAAGGGTGAGGTAAGAGTCAGCAAGTTTGTCAATGCTTTCTGTGTTCAGTGTCGCCACAAAGATAAGATCATTGTTTTGTTTAGAAAAGAACTGTTGTCCGATTTCCCGGGCAAGTTGGCTCTTGCCACATCCTGGATTTCCTGACAAATACACTGTACTGACTGCCCGGCTTGAACTTTTGTAAAGTTCCTGCATTTCGTTAGTGATTCTTTCAATATCATGCGAGCGCCTGATAGTATCGTGTGGTGGGCACGATGCGAGAATGCAAAATGGCTGAAGTTCCACATTTATTTCCTGTGTGAGAGAAACCAGGGCAGCTTCGGTACTTTGAAGATTACTTTTTGTCTGATCTAACTCGGCTTGGAGATCACGAACTTGCTTCCTTATTTTTTCCACTTCCTTCGTCGGAAAGGTCTTCTGGTTCTTTATTTCTTGAATCTCAGTTATAGCCAGACCAAGGGATGTAAAAGCTTTCAACACTCTGTCTACAGAAGCTTGGAAGTCGGCATCCGTCAACTTAGCCTCGGTGATATGAGCGATCTCGTTTCGCACCTGACGAATATCATCGACCTCTTTACGGACAGCTGGGCTTAAGGTTTTACCAATGCTGTCCGAGTACAGAATGGCAAAAAACAAACAGGTACAGTCCCACTCTGCCATGTCACCATTGTAGATTATTGCCAGAGTTCGGGCGTTTTTCTTGCGACTTGCTTTAGATTCTTTGTTGTAAAAATCATGTCCATTTTGTGCCGTGTCTTTCCATTCTCCAGTTAACGTTGCTTTATAAAGGAAATCCCATTCGTTTTTGAAAATGTGCCGCAGTCGCACTGGAACCAAATCAAATGCTATGTAGCAGAGTCTGAAGTAGTTTAATTGCTCTTGCGAGTATTCCATCACCAACTTATAATCCTAGTAAGAGATATTGCCTATTAGCTTATTTTCTCGTCAGGCCAAACCAAAGATTAATATTTACTTATCATTCTGAAAATTGCAAGAATCTCCGCTGATTATGTAACACAGTTATTCAATAAAATGATTATGAAAATCAAGCCGTAACTAATGATAAACTAAGTTTAATACGGGACGCTAGGTAAGTAGCTGTAGTTTTGCGCTGATAGATAAACGACTGCGTCTGGGCTTTAAACACAACTTGCTTTCCATGGACCTGGTTCAATCAGCAATGTGTTTCTACGACAGTACCAATAATGATCTAATAGACGCCAGGTTCTTTTATTTAATTTTAAGGATCAAGAGGTGGGAGGTGGTGGGAGGAAGGATGGACGGTGGTGGAGGTAGGGAGCATGTGTAAGTGGGTGGCGTTTATTCTGATAACTGTAAAAACCTCAACACAACTAATATGCTTCAAGAACTAATTACTTTGCTATCAAGGTCGAACCGGCCCGACGAAAGATGCTAATGTATTGAGCACATCAAGAATATCAAAGAGCACTTTCCTTACTTTGAACTTGGCGTTGAAGAAGATGTAATGTACAAACCATTGTCAATCAAGCAATAAACCAAATACCAGTGAATTGAATGATTTTGCTATATTTCGCTATTCCCGAGAATTGTGGAGTAATGGTCATGAGAAGGCATTTTTTAGACAGGAGGCGTTTAATATTGAGGGGCGTCTATTACAAACATTGCGTGGAAAGTCGTTTAATTTAAGACAAGAGCAGGGCCTTCATTTGTATTTGAAAAGGGGCTTCTACTAGATCATGTATTTCATTCGATGTTAGTTTCTCCATTGTCAAACACATTAATGACGATTATTTTGATCATTGCACAAATTTTAAGAGTTCTTGGCCTTTTCGAACAGTGCTTCGTTTGGATGACAAGTTGAGGGTAACAGATATCCTAGAAGAATATAAAAGTAGAGTAGAAGAAGGATGCGATAAGAAGCAGGAAAGAGATTAAACATGTTTGTCTAGAAGTGCGCTCTTTTCGATATGCAAGCTCTGTGGACTCCAGAGCTCTTTTCTTTGCACGGCTGAAAAAAAAGGCTCTCGAGTCGAGATTGGTGGGGAGGAGGACGACGGGTAGCACCACCGTCCAATAGACAGGTTTAGAGTGCGGGGAGAGATGACAATCACATAGCAAAAGAGAACAAAGCGGGTTATACAAAGTTCTCTGCAAGTTCATTGATTTTCTTGCCACTGAGATTGGTCTTAAAAACGGTACACCAAAATTTCTCTTAGCACTTTAACCCTTTCACTCCTAGACTGAGTACCCGTGGACCTTGCAATTGTATGCCCACGCCCCCCCGGCCCCGGGGGGGAAGTTACTCCCTATAATGGCCTATACGGGGAGGCTCCTCCCCAAAGGGTTTCCTTTTTCAGCTTTCAGGTAAATGAAATGTTAGCGAGTTCACTTGTTGAAGTATATGAATGTGTAGGGAAATTAGCCATTTCGTCGGTAAAAAGGCTCAAAAGGGCGAACAGGTGCATTTTAAGGCAGTGAAAAAGTTGAGGAAACGTTCTGGTTTTGTGATTTATCAGGAGCCTATCAAATGGATCCATTTGATGGGCTCCTGGATTTATTCATGATATTTTAAAGAAAGTGCATTTACAGTTGTTGAGAGGGATGCAAAGTTCTATACTTGGTGTGTGAAAGGGGTATCATTTATCAATAGAAGGTATACGAAAGTGGGGACTTTTCTGTCAAAAACGGTATATAAAAGGGTAGTTAAGGGGTCGAACCTCGGGGTGGAGCCTCCCCGCATACCATTTTCGTTGTACCCCCCGAAACGTTGTGAACTCGTGACGAAGCCCAAAGAACGCGCGTCTGCGTGGGAAGCCTAACGTACCTTATTATAGAAATTAACGCTCTATGAAATTAAGGTATTGGAAATTAATGCGACTTAAATTAACGCGAATTTAATGGAAAACGACTTTAGAATAAAGAAAATTAACGTGAAAGGGGATGTAGAATTTCATAATAAAGGAAATTATAGCCTGAGTATCAGGCCTTCCTAAGTGGCTAGGGGAGAGGAGATTTGATCCTTTTTTCGCTTCCATCTTTCCCCTTTTCCCCAGAAACGCTTGATACTCAGGCTAAGGAAATTAACGCGATTAAGACACAGTTGGTGATGACAACTGGAACAAATTTATTTCAACAGGTTTCAACATTCAAAACTGCACAAAACTGAGCTGACATCACTTCTGACAGCGACAACGATGAAGATGAACTCGAAATACTGTAAACCTTCGCCTTAGCTTTTGTGAAAGATAAAAATTAAAGGGTAAATGGAAAGAAAGAAAGCTTGTAGTTAATGTTTTTTAGGTGTCAAGAATATCTGGACAGGTTCCAAAATTGGGGTTAAAATACTGGAAATTAGGAGCGCGGAAATTAACGCTGCACTTTATTAACGTCGAGGAAATTAATGCTCAACAAATTTAACGCGCCTTAAATTAACGCGAATTTTAACGATTCGCGTTAATTTCATGGAGGGTTAATTTCTTATAATAAAGTATTTCCGGTCGTCGCCTTGCTTCACTATCTGATCACCGAAAAGTAACGAGAGACGACCAGAAGTATGTCTGTGTTCAAAGTCTAGTTCTGAATGAAACCTCTCCCTCTTTGGCCGTCTTTTTTCGGAGAATTTTTACCTCTTTGGACTTTACCAAAAAGAATTTTTGTGTTTTTGTGAATTTTTAAGTTGGGCACTGTTATGATTGATCAGGTTTTACTTTTGCGCAGAAAGCGATGAATCCCCGCTATGAATGATGACCCAGACATTAAAGGACACAAATCATTTGCAAATGAACATTCGTTTGATGTTTCATTCCTGTTTCAAATATGAAACACTCATTCGTTTTGATTTTGGACAACGAATGCCCCACCGTGATCGGCGTATTATTCAGGCTAGGGAATCAGTGCTAACAACCCCTTTAATGAGCGTATTTTTAACGAAATAGCGACCATGATTGCGCGGAAACGTACAAGGAAGTGTACTCGCAAATGTAAACATTTCTGATCCTTACGCGAAAATAATAAAGGTTTCGAAGAACCAGATGGTCATAACAAGTAAACTCTTTTCATCACCGCAAATTCTACACCATGCACCCAACATGTACTCAAGACAGTGACGATAGTTCTGTATGCCGAGGCCATCAAATTCTTTAAACGGTAATGTGTGGTGTACGAGTGGAACTTCGACAAAATAATTATCCTAAATTTTATTTTATCTGTGGGTATGTTAAGCTGGATAACCAATGCAAAATTACTCACCTTACCCAAAATTGATCCAAGGAACTTCGATTAATATAACGTAAGGTAGCACGATGAAGAAGAGAAATTGATTGTCGAAAGCGGAACTGCTTGACATAATATTGGCGTCTGACTAAGACAGATCACGTAAATGTTGTTATGGTCGAGTTATTTTCATAGTCACGCTATTTTCCAAAGTCACGCTATTCAAAGAAAATGAGGGCCCATAAAGGCGCGGCGGGAGGGGAACCTCATCTGAAAACGAAGAATATGCTGGTCGGAAAATTAGAATCAAACCCTAATGCGACGGAGACCGGCTTAGGATTTATTTGACCCCCAACTTCGCTTTTATAGCTTTGAAACCATACAGTTCTCTATAAGTAAACACATTTTGTAATGTTTTATTTAGAGCGATCATGCATGCAAGTGGATAATGTTATCAATTCTAAGTTCTTTCATGTCACGCGAAGTGGTCGCGAATTATATAAAGTTACATCATACTTCCGTAAAGAAAAATAATGTACAGTTCAATTACAATTTCCCGAAAATTAAAGTTGTATCTGTCTACGTTTGCGTTATTTCAGTTGGCGAATTACGTTAATTATCCTCATGTTTAAGAAGAATAGGCAACTGTTGTTCTGTTGTTCAAGTAATAATTGTCAGAGGTTTCTTTTCTCTTTTTTTTTTTTTTTTTAATAGTTTTGTTTTCTTTTTGTACACAAATTTTCCTTTTCAGTTGCTGTGAAGTAGCTGAAAACGACAACTGCCGGCGAGACTTCAAAACAATTGTTTCTTTTGCCCTAAACAATTGCTAGGGCTGGATTTGATTGAAGGAAGCAAAACAAACCCTTATGTGCAGTTTTCTGTATTTTCTAACGATTTGCTTTCAGGTTTAATTTGTTTGAATGAAGACCCTCGCATGGACAAGTTATTAAAAATGGCTACATGGTTAATCGCAAACAGCTGGTGAAGCTTGCAACTGATCTTTTGCTTTTAAGATCTTTAGGTGGATATTTTTCGTACAGAAATTTCACTTCTTCGATGTCATTGTTACGTACTAAGAGCCTTTATGTTTTTTAATGATAATTTGTTGTTTTACAACCGTATTGAACATGATTTAAGTTTTTTTATGTCTCCTTAAGTTGAATTCTGTGCATGCACAATGGAATTGTGCTTTTCTTGTCTCATCTCTTTTGCAAGCTTAAAGAGGCGTCTATGGTCCTGAAGCAACCTCAGCAATTAAATCATATACATAATTGGAAAAACGTTTTTTGTAATAATGTAACTCACCCTGGTTTAAAGGGAAATCTCACTTAAGCGTAGTTAGGTTTTTGACAGGTGTGATGCATGTTGGCAACCGACATCACGCAAAATTTATCTCCGTGAAACGA